CCCCCCCCAACCTTGAGAGCATTCTATTTGTAAGGTAACGATAGCCTCTCGGGAACTAACACACGCCTGAAGCTGCTTCATAGTTGCTGTTACAGCTAGCAAAGATACAGGGGATGATGAAGCGGCTCCACCACCATATGGATAACGTACAGAAACAACGGTGGATGGCTATACAAGTGGCTCGAGTAGTCCCACACCGAACTTCTAGCCAATCGTTTTGGTTATGTCCAGTGAATCACAATTCGTTCGTACAGACACAATCGTTTGGATACGAGCGATATTCAATCGGATGAAAATTACAGAGAACAAATACGTGGGGCTGGGGCAAAATTCACCGCTAGATGCGACTTGCGTCGATTATCGATTCAAGCCTGGAGGCAAGTACCATTTCCGAATTATTTGTTGTTCTGTTCGATCTTACGGATATAATGTTTCCATGTATACTGTGAAAGCGACCTGGCTGACCGTCAAGAAGGGGTGTCCACACCACAAGAAGCACAGGAGTTACACGAAGATCTGGAAGAACTCAAAATCATTCGTGACTCGGTCCTTGAGGTAGTTCGGCTGCCAACAATGCAGACACTAATTACAAATCTGTGCACTTTCTAGCCGCTTTATGCTTAAAAGACGTATGGAAGGGGTTATGTTTGGAAGAGTGTGTTCATTTTTTAAAGCACATTATTTTAAATAAATTTCTGAGTGCACGTGAAGGACATATCGCCACGGGGTATCTGTGGACCACCCTATGGTGGCTTGTCGTCAACAAGGTGTCTAATGAGGATAGCTCTGCTGCCACTGCGCTCACTCGTCGTGTTGGAAGCCGAATGCAGCCATTTACAACACCTACAAATGTTGCTCAAGATAATAGTCATATGCAGGGAGTTGATCGCCTGGATCAACTGTGGGCTCGTTTCTCACTTGTGGGCGGGTTTTTGTTTAGGAATGGTACAAGAAGTCGCACTGGCTCTCATCTAAGTCGCGCGCGTAATGCATACATGAAACGTTTGGCGTGAACCCGGGTTCCCATCGTGCTCCGCCAGCTGGGAAAAGTACCGGTAATACCCTTCTACAGTAGAAATTGTTTTATTAGAGTTACTGGTATCATGGCAGAAAAAGTATAAGCAAATGAATCTCAAGTGCTTTGTCCAAAGCCACCTACAGGCCGGTTGTTAGCTGGTAGAAGGCTTTTGTGCCGAACTAAAAAAACTGTAGAATGGAAGGTTGATTAGGTTTCAAGGTGGTCTTCTCCTTCTTTGGCCGGCCTGGCTTGCGCTTCGACTGGGACTTGGGCGTACTTTCGGCGTCACTAGCTGCAGCCTCCAAATCAGGAGCGTCAAAGATGGAATCAGGTACTGCCGGGTAGTAGGTAAGGCGTTGTTGCGGGATCGAACAATATTTTGCCGATAAGGACTTCATCTTTTTGTCCGACAGATCTTGCGTTGGCTTGCGAGGTAGGTGCACACTGTGGATTGAAGCTTCCCATATAGTTTGAATCGAGGGACCAAAAAGCTCCGTGATAAATGCCTTACGAACAGTTTCGATGCTCGTACATTTGACCATATTAAACGTGATAGCCTCGTCATCTGGAGTTTGCACAGTTTTTCGAGCGGTACAGATACCTTGGTCTATTTCAAAGAGGTAATTGGAGGTGTAACCCGCTGGAGGTGCAGTAAAGTATTTGTGAAGTACAGTTCCCCATTGCTCGAAAAACGGGTGGGTATCATAACGGCGCCTTCAGATTGGCTCCACTTCTTACCACCATACCCAGTGTCCCACGAATCCCAGTCCGCACGTAGCTGTTTGGTGGTCTCCAGTCCAAGTTTAGCGACTGCTTGTAGATTCGCGGCCTCATCTCAATCATGCACTTTCCTGGGCCTTCGCGGGGGTATGGTCGCTTGTGAGCCTCCACTTCGGCGTGGGGCCATTGTTAGTGCTCGCTTCGTCCAAGTGGAAGATGGAAACTCTGCAACCACCTACATTCGGATAAAAATAAATAATCCAGATCTTTTTCAGTTTTATTTGGGGGAACCCGGGTTCCCGCCAACCGTTTCACATGCCGCGGCGTTTAGCTGTGAATATAAGCAAATATCGCAGTTCTCATCAAATGGTTGTTAGTCGGCTCGTTCATTAATTGCTTTCTAGTCAATGGGTGGAAACTCCCAGTGATTGAGGGAATGATTAGACCAGCACTGATAGTTTAGCTGAAGAAAGATGTTTTCGAGCAGGGTAGCGGGTGGGAGGGGTGTGAAACCGTTAATACTTCGGATTGTCCACAGAAAGGTTGCTCGGTCATGGCGTCCAGCAGAAAGCGAAGGCAATGTGTCGAATGAACATACGACAATTGAGCGGAAACAGTTCTGTTAGATCCGTGTACGCTTCACCACGTGTGTTCCTCTGTCCGACACTCAACGCAACGGTACTAAACCTTACTTCTGTTTGGAAGGAGGCAGCACATGCTGGGAAAAAAATCCATAAAATTTATTGGGTGTTTCAGCTCTTCTCAAGCACAGAAAGTGTGATGATATCGTCACTCCTGTACAAAATGAAGCGAGAGAATCCACCATCTCGACCAAAGAAAAGCTGTTGTGTCGCTCATAACATCCTCGCCAGATTGATGTAAAGCGAGTTGAATTGACATTAGATCCGATCTGCGTAAATGAACAAGCTCACTAAACTTGCTGACCAGCTCACAGACTTGCTAACAAGTGCAGGTTGTAAAATATACCGCATAACATGTTTAGGCAGAACGAGTTATGATGATACTACCGATAGATTGTGTAAAAACAGCATCCCACATCGGCTTCATCAATGCTTTGGAGGCTCAAATTGCAGATTGTTCGTGAACACAATCTTTTGTTTCATAAATGGCTTCACAATACTCTGAATTGAACCTCACAATATCCTCGCACCACTGGACCAGTTCTTCTTGAAAACAAATGCCTGTAGTTGTATTACCAACTATCCCAGGGTAAGTGTGATAAAACGCTACCGATTCCACTATTAATGTTGAGAAATACGTTTGGTTTGCTGGTGAGTTTGGTTTTGCTTGATTGACGAAATAAATAAAATAAATACTCTCTCTTTGGAAGCAGCTCACCTTCGTTCAAATTATGGAGACCTAGCAGAACATGTGACAATCTTACTCACAACACACGTGAACATTTTGGTTACCGCACTCTCAGCTTGTGCTGGCGACAGCACCGTTCGTGTATCCCCCCCCCCTCGCCGGGAGCCTCTACAGCCAACTGATTTGCCACCGAGTCGGTTAACGGCGCCACTCGCATAGACACGCTAACCCTGAGCCCGGTCTGGGTAGTAATGCGTCAGGACAGCAGTCTGCTGCAGCAAGCGAAACCGGTACAGTGGAGCCGGACCGTCCTGTGCATGCGTTGAAGTGCCGCTGTCGCTTCGTCTGCCTATCCGATCTGGCCAATTTGCCGCAGCAGTGCACTCCTTCGTTCTGACACTGCATTTGCTATGCTATAGAACAACGATGGAAGAATTGTTAAGTTATTTCCGTAGGTTTATTCAGTACGTCATGCACCGCTCTGACTCCAGGCGTGCGCTGCTAGTGTATCACATTGTGATCTACTTCCCGCCACACGATCCGCTTACCTTGAACGGCGTATGGCGAGTGAACTGCACCAAGATCCTGTCCTCTTCGTCCAGGAAAGTTTTCCGCGGCATCGGAGCTATCACGCTAATTTGAAAGTGCTGGCTTTTGAGATTGAAATGTGTATTACGTCACCTTTGTGCTTTCCACCTAGTTCGAAAGCCATAGCTTAGGAAGGAACATACCTTGCGCTGCTATACGGTCCGTTCCCAACGGTGCAGTCAGTCACGGAGATCGTAGTCATACCAACAATTTACTCGATATCAAGCGGGGTCACACTCGAAGACACTGTTCAACCCTAACCGAAACGATATGGATTGGATAAAAAAAACGCTCATTAAAGCTTCATCCTGGTGGAATGTTGGGTGACACCACGTTTTGGTCCCTCAAACAATTTTAATCCAACTTGTAAGTAACAACGTGATCAAACACACGATTGCACTTCGTTATACCCGACGGTCGCATTCCAGCAGCAGGTTTAATGTGCATTAAGCAGTTTTGTAATTTAAAATAAATTACCTATCAAATTTGACAAAACCGTCATATGGGTTTTTGATGGAACCTACCAAAGCGCCCGTTTAAAATCAATTTCTTGAAATCGCTGCTAAAGGGTGAGCCCTTTCGTGGTTACTAATGATCTCACAAAAACAATAAAAATATTTAATAATAATATTACTGTTAGTAGTAGTAGTAAATTTAGTATAATAAACTGTTGTTCTTAGTAATATTAGTAAAACAAACTGTTATTAGTAGTAAAATAGTTATTTTAATAGCAATTGAAACCTTTTCTGATCGCACCGCTTGGCTGTCTCTGATTTGCCAAAACTATGTTCAATCCCTGATTGCGCAGAAAACAATATTTTAACCAATGGTTGACGGTTTATGCGACGTCCATCGCAAACAATATTTTAACCAATGGTTGACGGTTTATGCGACGTCCATCACAAACATTTAACACGACCATTTCGGAATTTCCGACGTAGCAGTAAAGACAAAAACTTCAAACCTTGTCCAGCATGGGTTTTATCGCGGATCGCTTCGACCTGGAGAAGCAGGTGACATTCTACCTGTCCTACCATGACAACAAGATCAATCAGTACATCCATCTGGCTTGCATCTGGCCCATTTTCGTGTCTGGACTCATGATCCTCGCGCACACGCAGCCGCTAGCCGAGACGCCAACGCTTCTGGCATCGCTCCCCTACGGCGATTTTATGCTGCTGAACTACTCAGCCGTCATGGCAGGCATCTATATGCTCTGGTACATGGCGCTGGACATCTACGCCGGCACATTGGGAGCCGCCATCATCTCTGTCTGCTTCGTCTTCGCCAACTACTTCGTCGTTGAGGGCGCCAAGGCGATGAACATGCACAGTATGCATGTGGCATTGGCCATCCACGCCACGGCCTGGATCCTTCAGTTTATTGGCCACGGCGTCTTCGAGCGTCGCAAACCGGCGCTCTTCGACAGCCTGGATCAAGCCCTGATCACGGCTCCGATGTTTGTGCTGCTTGAGATCCTGTTCCCTCTAGGCTACCGTCCGGAACTTTACCAACGCGTGATGAAGCAGGTCCGTATCAATGTCAAGAACTTCCAGGCTACGAAGACGCTCTAAGGCAACGACGCAGCTACTATCGTCATCAAAAATATATTGTTTCATCAAATATTTATGTGGTACTTTGTCTTTACTGTTAGGATGCGACAACGATCTCCGCCATCTCTGTGAGGCTCTTGGCAATGCCTTCAGCGCCACATACAAGGCAGTTAAGTAATAAAAGCTCCTCCATCGATACCTTCTCGTACCGACGCTCTTCTAGTAGCCACTCCACATACGCAGTCTTCATCTGCGCCGCGATGTCACTACTCGAAAAGTCCTCCACATTCAGGACATCGTGTTCACGACACATCGGGGCTGATGACGCAGCCGACGACGCTCGTTTGCCTTTGTCGACCGACGAAGCTTGTGATGACCTCCGAAAACTTTCACGCGAAGGCATTGGTGCTCGAGAATTATTCACTTTCGCGTCCGCTGAAGGTGGCACTTTATCACCAGCTTCAACGTTGGCGATCTTTGGAACGTCGTTCTCGCTCTCATCGCCCGCCTCATCCTCATTGATAGCCGCCAGCATATTCTCACGTCTCGCTACTAGTGCTGGGGCCTTGGGTTTGCGTCGTGTGTACACTTCAACCTCAAGCTTGAGGCCATTCTCCAGCGCCTCTACGAACTCTTCGAACGACACTAAGCCACTGTTGTCCTTGTTGACCACACGCATGAATTCCTCGACGTATTTGTGGATCTCGCCTTGGTCTACAGCCCCAGATTGGGCGAAAATGGTCTCCAACATATCTGCAACTTCGTCCGCATCGATCGCACCGCTACAGTCTTTGTCTGCAAGACGGAAGGCCTCCTTCATCTGCATGAAGATGGCGGTTTGGTCCGGTTCCGAGTACAAAAAGGCGTCGCTAAAAAGCATTTCCAACGTCTTGAACGAGTCAGTCACTGCAGTCTGGAATTGGTTTGTTGCATGCTGCCATTTTGCATTTGTACTCTTGTCGTCAATGGAGGAGACGGTGTCGCGAATATCGACACTATTGAGTTGAACTCGGTTGTGTTCAACTCGGAAATTGAACCACCGCACTAGTTTGAACAGTAGCGTGTTGTTGTTGAGTAGTCGACGCGAACTTTCAAGAACTTTTTCATATTTTGGAGTCGAAAACGCCGGTCTCCACATGAGCGGCTCAGCTTGCGCTTCGGCCAGCAAAGCTGTTTGTCTAGCGTGTTTAGCCGGGATCTTGACTTGTAGAATCTCACGGAGATGTTCCATCGTTTCTGAGTCCATCGTGCTGGACTTTGTCAAGTGGTGGCCGAATAGTACTTCAAACGCTTCGAGTTGTAGTCGGAGCGTTTTTTGGATATTCCGTCGTAGCAAATACATCGCGCTTTTGGGGTAAATCATGAGCTCCACGATGATGAACAGCACGATGCCTACTGAGGTTTGTGCGAGGCTAGAGTACGAACTGATCGCGATGGATGCGGCATTGTCCGATGCATTCGAATAGCACACGTCAGACTGGCGCATTAGTATTCCAGTCGACACGAAAGCCGATACTAAACCAGCGTACGAACTGTAGCCACCAGCATAGCAGACGTACATGGAGATACAAAGCCAGACGAAAAGCACAACGTTCGAAAGTACCACGTTGAGGTATCGAGGGTCGCAAATCTGAGCAATAAAATACTGGAACACTGAGGGAACGACGCTGCCGGCCACGACGCCGCCAACACGGTTCACTGTCGCTCTGAATGATCCTCCAAGATAATTGCCCAACACATATGCCACAGTGCTAGGAACTGTCGAGTTGAAGCCATAGACATACACCGACAAGAAGATACCGATAATAATGGCCACGGAACCTCTGAAGGCACTCAGCATGGCGTGTCCGTTGGTGTAGTGGGATACCTTGAAGAAACTCCTGACCGAAGCTATGAGGAATGAACGGATTCGATGGGCATCTGTGTAGATTTTCCGGTTGTGAATTTCCTGGAAGCCGACCATGGTGCTGCAGAACGAGTTGAGTGAAAAGAGGAAAATGTTCAGTGGCACGTTCCCCGCCATTTCCTCGAGTGTAACTGGATATGTGCGCAGAGTTCGATTCTGCGTCGAGCGGTAACGATGCAGTGTTGTCTCCATTTGTGCCTCGAGGCGAGGAATCGACACAAGCTTCACCTCTGCAAAACGATAAAAATAAATGTTAGCAGAAAAATAATGGGATATTCTAGCAGAAAAATAATGAGATATTCTAGCAGAAAAATAACTTACCGCGTGATGCTGACTGCACTTCTCGTGCAATTTCGTGGAGAAGATCACCTGAGCGCATCTGAATGATGTAGATCTCGCGCTGTAACACCTTCATGTACGTGAAGTGGAGGTGGTCATATTTTTCCAGTTGCATCGCGTAGCTAAGCGTGCGCAAATCCGAAATCAACGACCCCACGAGTTTCACGTAGTTGAACATGATCGGGCGGTGGAATCCGAGCAAGTAGTGTAATCCAAATGACTGCTCCCACCACGCATCTACCAGCAGAGCATCCATACGGCGATGACGGGCTGCTGCGGCGTCAAATTTGCGCTGAAGCTTCAGTTTAAGAAAATTCATGTGATCCACATTCTTGTTCTTGAAGCAGTACGAGTCGATGATGATATTCAACAAGTCAAGAATGTCTTCAGCTGCTCGTGTAGAGTCCTTCCGCAGTCGATTAATGGCGCTACAAAACAATTTTTTTAAATACTCCTATATTCTGTCCACGCAGAAAAATAACGTACAAGATTGGATATGGGATAAACATGATGACAAGCGAAACGAGTGAGCCGACAATGCCTATAAGGAAATAGACTTCCAGGTTGTGAAGAATGTTGGCTGTGCGGAAGCTCGGGTCATCAGAAGTTTTGAGTCCTGATCCATCGATTGGATCCGCTGGGTTAATGATCGTTAGAACTGAAATTTCAAGGAACAAAACGCGTTAGTACAAACCCATGAGTCACTAGAATGGCCGTTTGTCTTACTGAAGTAGAGGTTATTGGCCACGGCAAATTTTTTGGTTGTTGCAGCTAATGGAAATACCAAAATTGCCACCGTGAAGATTATCATCCAGGGTAACGTCGTGTAGAAATCGTGTAGATTCACCCAGTAGGTACTGGAGGAAAATGCCTGGTCGATCTCGATATACCCGTCGTAAGGATCTTCTGCATTGGTATCTTGTGTATGCACATCCATACAAGCGAAAAGTATGATGCTGTATACAAGTGCCATACCCACGCCGAGAAATGCTTGCCAAACAATCATGAGTGTGCTACCAATTGTTTTCCCCGTCGTGAATATCACGGCAATAGCGCAGTAGCTCAAACCACCGAGATAGTACCACGAAGGGAACAACACCCACTTCTTTCCGTCAGTATCAGACGGATCGTAGTCCGATACACGAGTCTGAATGGACGATGCTATCAGAACTCCAACAGCCACGCGCAGCGCCAATTGCGCATTGAATCGGAACTCCCCTGTATAATTGTAGTAACAGGTATCGATTAGCACACGTACAATTAAAAAAAAACAAATGACAATAAAACTTACGTGAGAGGCGCTGCTGCTTCAATGCACTTTTATGGTTACTGTCAAAGTCGATGCGAAGCTTTGCAGCTTTTTCAGCAAAATCATCGCTGCCCACACTCCCAGTTGTTCCTTTGCGCTGAGATCGACGGACGATTGAGTTCGACTCACGTTGACTTGCACTCTCGCTGTCCGACGCTTCTCCAGTGTTCAGAGGCTCAGTCAGGTCACTACGGGCGATAAGTTAGCTAGGATTCCTTCAGTGTTAATGAGTTCCTTAACTTTACCCGTTCTGTGTGTGGCGCGAGCGTCGGCCAACCATGTTGACCGTCTTATAGTTGAGTACACCTTGCCAACCTGTTTTTGCGTTAGTAAGTCGTGAACTAAATGCACATCGTAGTACGGTCTGAAAGGAGTGGTCGTTTCGTTTTTCATATTCGTCTGAAGGTTTCGCAGGCACCGACCGAGTTTCAGGAAACGAAAACAGAGAGAGGCACACTCCTACAAAATAGAGCGAGTGCCTTCATTCGTCCGCTTGAAGCTTGCACTGGATCCGTTAACCAACTGAGGTGTTCAGCTCTTCAACTGACTCAGCTAAGCTTGCATACCAAGCAATATTTCGCGGTATGAATAGTCGCAACGGCCTCCGAACAACGCACGGCTAGACAGCACCAGAATAGCGTTTCGGAACCCGTCGCTCAAAATACATTAAGCGCAGTCTTCTGTGCCGGTGCCGCAGCATCGGGCGTTGCCGTTGAAGCTGTACAAACCTAGGAGTAATCTCCATTTTTTTTTTTTTTTTTGATTGAATGAATTGTCTCCAGGTTTGCCTGGATGCACTCATGTGGCAATAGGTCAGCAACATTCTTCACTCGGGAGAATGAGGAGCAATAGAGCACTTCAACATGAAACCCTTTCATAAATACAACGTGCCACACCATTTACACTTGAGTTTAATGTGTAGCTTATGGGGCACGAACACTTCCAGCAATTATGGCGGGTGATGGAGACGACGCCGTGTACGCGTCCATCTTGGCGCAAGTGGAGCCTTCAGAGCTGCACAACCAGCTGCATAAGGTGGTGCGGAAGGAGTACAAATCAATTAACCGCTTAGTACGTCACGCATCGTCGTCATTGACAGCACTGCGGCAGCTGCAGGCGGCGTCGGAGCATTTGAGACCGCACGGTGACTGGCTGCCCACGACGATGCAGACGCAGCTCAAAAGTATCGAGGAACTGCAGAGCAGGTTGGAGACTGCGATAGATCTCTTAGAGATGGATGTTAGCGACAGGAGAACGAAGAAGAGGAAGCGACCTCATACCAAAAAGACAGTTGAAGCGGACGAGGAGGACGAGGAGGTTGTCGTGGTGGACGTTAGAGGACCATTATCAAAGAAAGAAGATGTGGACCGTAGTAGTGAGTTGGAATCGGTGGATAGAGGCGATACAACAGCGCTGGAACAGGAGGAGGGGTCGGACGTTGAGTGCTTAGAAGCGGTGGATCTTGCTAAGAAGAGAACGGAGGACGATACAGATATTCGAGCAAGAAGCAGTGAGAAGTCTATTGCGAATGGAGAGACAACAGAGCAACGAGCTGAAAAGCCAATACAGGAGCAGCAGGAGACGGAAGATTATGATGTGGAGATTGTTGAGATGCTGGAGGTTGACCAAAGGAGAGCTGGAACTGATGGAGGTGGTGTATCGGATAATGCGAAAGAGCAAAGTGAGAGTCGAGTGGGAAGTGTAGAAGACATGGTGAGTGAAAGTGAAGAGTTACCGTGCGGTTTGGTGAGGATAACTCATGACGCAGAGGTGCGTATCAAAGAGGAGCCGATGACGTTAGCTGATGATCAGATTCAAGAAACGAGCAGTCCCGCTAATGTCATATACGATACGGGACCACATGATACGGTAGAATCTCCTATCGAGTTGGAAGTATTAGAGTCGTCGGACTCTGAGCATTCGGCAATGGACATGTCAGATTTGGCAGAGTTGGCGATCGAGTTGGATGTACCGGACTCTGATTCCGAGGACGATTTCACCCCTTGTATGGAATTGGTGGCAAAGCTGAAGGACGCAAATACTACAGATCAGTTAGCCAAGTTTCCGGTAGTTGTGGAACGCTTAAGATCCTATTTGGTCGATCATAAGCACCTGACAGTGACCGAGCTGGATGGGTATTTATTTGCGCACAAGCACATCACAGAGGAGGAAGCGGATGAAATCGGACGTGCGATCGAGATTATTATTTGTATGGGCATGGCATTACCCCTAAGACCGAAGATTCGTCGAGCGCTGTCTGACTTATTAGCGGTCGTTCAACAGCTTGAGTGCATGCTGGGTGAACTGCCCGTATTTCTGCGTCCGTAAGTGTCTTTTGAAGATGCCATCGTGTTGGTGCGGGTCGCTAATGATGTTTTCTTCGTTTTTTTTTCTTGTTCATAGAGTCGTTGAGAATTTCTCCAGCTATCTCTAATCCCAAGTCGACGAGAACGTCGACAGTGGGCCTCCTGTCGATGTCCTTTATTGATCCCCCCCCCCTTCATCCTCCAAATACGCGACATTGACAAGAAGAATGGCAACTCAAAGTTTAGCCGAGTACAATTCAGTATCACTCTAGGGTACCCGTGTCCAGTCTGACTTCCACGTCGGTTAAACCGAAGTCCAATCCGCTTCTCATTCCAGGTACCTTTTTGACCCAGATCTATACAACTATATTATCGAGGCTGTCAGCCCGAAATTGAATGAGCCAGGTAAACTTTGTGTAGCTATGTTATTTACTCGCAATTTAGACATCCGGAGTGCCGATCACAATACAAACAAGTTCTTAAACGTTTTACTAAAACCTTCACATCAACTACATCATTAACTAAATCACACCACTTCCCTTCATAGTTACTTCTCATCTAGCGAGCTCCCGCCATTTCTTGCTGAATCACCCGTAACTCGTACGCAATAGCAGGAGCAGTCGGTCGTTCAGCCGGGTCTTCAAGGAGACATCGCTCCACCAAATCTTTCAATGCCTTACCACACGTTGCTCGAACTTTAGGGTGGAGCTTTCCTGTCGCTACTCGGTGCAGAATCGTCAAGTCCGACATGATCTTGCCGTTTGAAGCACGAACGTTATCGTACGGGATCTGATTCGTATCCAGCTCTGTAAGCAGGGTACCGAAGCTGTAAATGTCAGCAGCAGGGCCGTAATCAGAGTCGCCTCTAATAACTTCGGGAGCCAGCCACCGCCCTGTACCAACGCCACCTGTCATGGTCTTATCAGACGACCTGAACCTCGACGTACCAAAGTCACTCAACTTGGCTTCCATGTCAGACGATAACAGCACATTCTTCGACTTTAGATCACGATGCACTAACGGGGGCGAGAACGAGTGCAAGTACACGAGCGCTTCAATAACATCAATGGCGATATTGAACTTCGTAGTCGTCCATCCACTTGGAGTGTTTGGATCCGCCAGATATCGTCGAAGATCGCCTCCTTCCATGTACTCGAGCAGCATTTGTAGATCTGTTTCAACTGTCCATGCTGCTCCGATAAGCCTCACCAGATTCGGGTGATCAAAGTTCGCTATCAGTTTAATTTCCTCCACGAAAGCTGCGGTGTGTTTCTTGGTACGCCGTTCAGGTCGCAGACGTTTAGAAGCTAGCAGTTGTAGATTCCTGTAGCGCACTAACCAAACAGTAGCATAAGCGCCACTGCCAAGTGGTTTGAGATCCTTTATCGCGGATGCACGTAGCTGTAGTGAGAGCAATTCTAGATCGTTCCAGATCGACATAAATCTCTGTGGTTTTCCCTTCGAACCGGCCTCTTCAGTCGAGACAAACGAGGGGATACTGGAAACAGCAGTCGCGCCAGCCACAGCCACCCCTGTAGTTTCGGTCTCGTTCTGCTCATTCGTTAACGTGGGGATCCCCATAGATACATCACTGGAGGGCCTGACCATCGGAATGTCCTCAAAGGAGCTTCCTCGACCACGAGACTGTAGTAACTGATGCCAATTATCTGTAGACGAAAAATGATCGCTGTATCCGACAGTGTCGCTCGCGATCGACACGTCCACTTTCTTGTGTTCCTTGCGTCGATGTAGGACGAAAACGAACGCAGCGAATAAAACAACCAAAACTCCACAGACGATTCCAACGATCCAGCTCATCGAAGAGGAAGAAGATGAAGACTCGGTAGTCGTGGTAGTATCTGATCCCTCTGAAGCAGCTGAACTTGGCGCTGCGGTAGTAGCTCCATTGGTCGTAGCACTCGTTGTCAAAGAGCCATCATCGGTAATACACACAGCCACATCGAATATTTTGCCCTCCCTTGAGCAATCTGAGTCAGTAGTGAAGTCGGATGCAGACAGCTCCAAAGTCTCCAGACTATTCAAAAAGTTCGCCTGCTCACTAGTGAAATCTCGGGATGCTAGTGGATTTCCAGTCAAATTTCTGTTGACAGAGAGTGTAAGATACTTTAAAAATATAGTGTGTGACCGAAGCAAACGTACAGTGTCTTCAGACTGGAATAGCTGTAGATTGCATCAGGGATACTGGTCAAGTTGTTGCCACCGAGGTACCTGCAAAATGAGATAGAGAAAACAATAATGTAAGTTTTTAAACCTGGACTTCACTTACTCAAGTCGGTACTTACAAATTCTCCACCTTCGCGAAAACCGCCGAGAAATTGGCAATATTGTTGTTTTGCATGCTCCTGCGCGAAAAAAAACCAATCTGATGTTAGAAAGAACTGTGCACAACTTGATACACACTTGGTATGGTCCTTACAGTGTTGTGATGGAGTCAATCCCGTTGGTAGAGTCTACTGTTGTAATGTAGTTGTTATCCAACACGCTGCACGTACATATAAACCAGTAAAATAGTAAGTAAAAAGTAAAAACAACAGATTCGAAAAGTTAAAACTCATGATCGTGAAATCACGCGCCACGTACAGCTCCTTCAACACTTGCAGAGTGCTAAGCTTTGCTGGAAAGGTCGGCAGGAGTGTGTTGCTGAGATCTAGAGACTCTACCGACGTCGGAACAAACGCTGACAATGTGTCGATCTGATTCTTCAGAGCGAGATTTATGAGCCCCACCGTGGTCACCGACGTCGCGGATGATATCACATTTGAAGATAAAATAATATTGGAGACCTTGCCTTTGGGATACTCCATCGCTGTCGTCCCTCCTGACGCGATACTACACGGGAAAATAAAACCACATAAGAAAACCTATCGATACTTTACCAACAAGACACTCGACGTACAAAGTGGTGACTGCAGTGGACACACTTATCCTTCCTAGTGCTGTAACACCATTGTTAGAGACCGAGGGCCAGTCACTCGTCTCATCCGGATAACCTGCCAAGTCGGACTGCGTGTATCCGCCTGCTGCGAGCTCCTCTTCGCTTTTGTAGGTGCCGAACTCCACCAACACGACCAATTTCTCGGAGCTTTTGTCCACACTCAGGCACTTGTACGTGCAGTCTCCGTCCGTCTCCCAGCCAGAACCAGAGCAGCTCGAAGCCGACGTGTAACCCAGACACAAGTCGTAGTCTCCGCAACCTGTACACTCCTCAGTCGTGAGAGTCGTCGAGCCGCCGGCGCACGAGGCGTGCACGCTGTTACGGAGGGCGGCCAAGCACAGCAGCTCCAGTACCGCAAGGCGACGTACCCAGCACAAGGGCGCTACCATTGCTAATGTGGAATGCCCTGTCCTCCGTTCTGGGATTTCGATGGGGCCATAATGGCCATGGAGAGGAGAGACAGTGGCTTTGACTCAAGCGACAGAGAGCGGCCAGACCCAAGAGTTGAGGGTAAAAGTGCGTCCGACTGGCGACCATGCAGATGGAAGGGAACAAGTGGCGACTGGATCCGCCAATGTGGGGCTGCCATCCGGCTGCACACAGTCTGGTCGACTCCATGCTCGAGTCTTTGTTGCTGTAGTGCTGTGGTTCTGTGGACACTGGGATGGCTGTAAGTGAGCCTTCCCTTGGCATCGTCCAACGCCGGCATGCCCGTTCCTACTCGATCAAGTTTGTCAACTTCACCAAGATGATTGTGTGTCGCGCACATCGTTCATGCAGCCTTTCCCAAGGTATCAATCTGGCATGACTGCTCACTGAGCACTGCTCAGTCGCGCTGAAGCAGTAAGTTAAGTGCTGCTACAACTACAGCGATCTCCAGCAAAACGTATAATTTAAACATCCAGCAATACGCCACTTCGTACTATTACTTTTGGTATGATACGATACACGTACGTCGTGCATCTATCCCGAAACCATGTCTACCGTCGTGTCGACATCCCTATCCTTGCGCGAGGCCACCTGCAGACGAACAAGCTGTCTGCATCTTCGTACTGAGTTAACCCCGACTTCACCATTTAACCCAATAAAACACAAATGATACATTACTGTACCACATCATCGGTACAGATGCCGCTAGGAGTTCCGCCAGTCAATGCAGTTCTGTAGCTCTTCGCAATGAGTGGGTTCGAGCGCATCCTGGCGCGCGTGGGTGGCGATGCCCTGCGCTCGTACTGCTCTTCGGCTATCGAGGATGAACTGCGCAACCTGCAGACGCGCATGAAGGCGTGTCTGGAGAATGTAGAGCAGACTATGAAGGTCCGAGAAGCTATCGCCAAACTAGACGTGCCAATGAGCCGCGAGAACACTGCCGCATGCGCCGACATCCAGCGTAAGTATACGACATTCAGCGCTGATCTCAAGGCGTTCGTCGAGGAGCAGCGTAAACTGCAGGCTGAAGCTCCTGAGGCCAGTCCCGATGACCAGCAGAAGCAGAGCGAACAGCAGAGTCGCGAGCGCGTCACCAAATTGCTTGGCAAGATCCAGCACCGCATTACACGCAAGCGCAACGACGCGTGGATCGATAAGAACTTCGCAGATGTGGAGACTATTGCAAGTATCATTGGTGACGACGACTTTGCGGGTCCCGACAAGGCTCTGCGCAACGAGCTTGTGCTGGTGCTGGACCACTTGATCTCCGCTGTACTGCTGAGCCCACTGACGAACCAGACGACACTAGAGAAAATGGATAAGGTGCTCAAGAAACTGGCGGATGTGCACGATGATATCGACGAGTATATCAAGTAAGTATGGACATGCTGAGAGGGGTTTTAGATAGATTTCTGATGTTTATTTATTGGTGTATTGTAGATCGTCGAGTGAACTGCTGACTAAGAAGCGGCAAGCTTATGCTCCACGGACCAGGGCGACTGAGTCGAATAATATTGTTGATGCGGCGGAGGAGCCGAGAATGAAGAAACAGCGAGTGGAATCTGCACCCCAGTCGGACTTTTTGGTCAAAGTGGAGCGCACTGCCGCTGCTGTTGCAGCCGTTGAAGCTGGGGGCAATGACGCGACGTATGAAGTGTTTGTGTCGGATCTGCCGTGGGGAACCACCAAGGAGGCAGACGTGGCGTCGTACTTTGGTATCGCTGGCGCAGTCGTGTCGGTGCAGATGCCCACGATGGCTGATGGTAGCACTGTAGGAGTGGCAATTGTGCGTTTTGCCGCGTTGGAAGGCATGACGCTCGCGCTGCGGATGGACGGATATCCATTTAACGGCAAAAACATCCGCGTGGTCGTCCACAAATCAAAATGAGGTCGACACATTCGTGCACCATGTGCAGCCAGCAGTACGTATCATAGATCTTAGAAGCACCACGGGCATAAGTAAAAACAACAAAACGGAGTCGATAGCGTGAAGGAAAAGTGAACTTTGGTCTAAAGCTCCCAAAATTTGGGGCATCTTGATATAGTTCTTTTTATGCAGGAGATATCCAAGGCTCCTCAACTCAGGGCTGATCGGAAGGCAGACCCATCAGCGCCAGTAACTCGGATCAGGTTTTGGACCTGGCCGGTAGTACTACTGTAAGCAATGGCCGTCGAGCGGCGAGCTCATTCCGCTTTCGTCTCTTACACGCACAGGCGTTGCCAAGACACTTCTGACCCCGAATAAAAAGGAGGAACCATGCGCGCGACTCGAGTCATGCTTTTGATCCTGCTAGTGCTGCTTGCGAGCTCCATCCCAATTGCAACTACTGCGACGTTCGGCGAGATTAATGCTGTGGCAACTTCCTCTGACCACGAGCGCGTCATCGAATACCACCGCTACCTCAGAATCAGTAAAGTAACCAAGTTGAAAATGAATGGCGAGGAAAGAGTTGGTGCCGCAACTCCCCAGTTTAGCCAGTTGTGGAGAGGATTTTTGTATCAGCTGCCAGCAGCCTTCAAAAACAATCCTGTGACCAAGTTGCTGAAATGGTTTGTACGCTTGATAGGCAAAGGAATAGTGAAGTTGCGCCGGATGGTAATGATTAAGGCTCACAGCAGCAACCCTGGCACAGCGTAAATATTAGGATGGAGCTAACCAAAAACAAAATCAGTTCTCGAGAATCATTGTAGTTATTTATTTGCCTTTTTAAGAGTTTGCGACGTAGACAGCTAACTTGTTTATCGATCATCTTCGTGGACTATCAGGCTTGCAAGTCGCACCAGCTGGCTTGTACGTTTTCAACT